CTGTAAAGTACTCACTTTCTTTCTTTCCAATTCACGAACTTTCTTCTTTAAATGATTTTCAATCTCCAAACCCTATATGCCACAACAAATCTATTTGTTATCAATATGAGACATGCAGTTAGTGAACAGGTAAAGCAAGTACGGGCATCAAACAGATTCATACCACCCGCAATTTATTTCGGAGGTCATCCACAGAGCTCCTTACTCTCTCCAGCTCTTCTTCCAATGAACTCTGTCTGAGGAAAAGTTAATCAAGTTGCATGTTCGAAACAAAATTCAATTTAATGAAAATTCAAATATCTATAAGCTATATCTGAACATTTTTCAAAGCCTGTCAACATACTAATCTCACCAAGCATGTAGCACATTGAATCTAGATTCAATAGATTAACAACACAAGCATGAAAAAAAAAAAAAACAAAGCTGATACACTGTAGCCTCAGTTCATTTTGGGGTGCAACTAATCATATAGGCACCTTTGTCCATAGTAGTTATGTCCAAACAAACAAGGGAATACTAAACAGTAAGTGGTGAAGAATCTTAGGAGGAGAAAAACTCTATAATATTAATTTAATTGCTTTAGAATAAGGCCACTAATAACATAATAAAAGTGTGTGGTATTAAAAATCGAAGAATAGAGGAAAATTCAGGGTTTATTGGAACTCACAATGTATTTAGAGGTGGAAGAATCATTGAAACTCCACATTTCTGCAGGATCATGCAAAAGATAAGTGCATTTTTCATCATAACTAGCATCCTCCAATTCCCCAATAGCTTGCTGCTTGATCTCATAAAACTTATTGATAACCTGTTCCAAATTCACAAAAGAAAAGAAAATGTTTATGCCATTATTATGTAGAAAAGGAATTTTCCAGCGGGACAGGACAAAAATGATGACGTAATAGAAAATGCAACCCCCCAAATAAAGCAATTAAGTATTCATCTGAAGAAAAAGGCTTTATGGTAAATAGAAACAGTAGTAACACAATAATAATGTGAGTAGTACCAACTACCAAGTT